CATGTCCCGGCTTCAAATCCTCCATCATTGTCCCCGTCCCGAAGAAGCCCAGGATCACAGGACTCAATGACTACAGACCTGTAGCACTTACGTCTGTCGTCATGAAGTCATTTGAACGCCTGGTTCTCTCCCATCTCAAGTCCCTCACCTCCCCCCTCCTGGACCCCCTGCAGTTCGCCTACAGAGCCAACAGATCTGTAGACGACGCCATTAACCTGGCCCTCCACCACATCCTACAGCACCTGGACTCCCCGGGGACCTACGCCAGGGTCCTGTTCGTGGACTTCAGCTCTGCCTTCAACACAATCCTGCCATCCCTGCTCCAGGACAAGCACTCCCAGCTCAACGTGCCCGATTCCACCTGCAGGTGGATCACTGACTTCCTGACGGACAGGAAGCAGCGAGTGCGTCTGGGGAAGAATGTCTCGGACTCTCGGATTATAAATACAGGAGCCCCACAGGGCTGTGTTCTTTCTCCCCTGCTCTTCTCCCTGTACACCAACCACTGCACCTCCAGCCACGACTCCGTGAAGCTGATCAAGTTCGCGGACGACACCACCCTCATTGGACTCATCTCCAACAACGATGAGTCCGCCTACAGGAGGGAGGTGGACCGGCTGGTGTCTCCTACAGGAGGGAGGTGGACCGGCTGGTGTCCTGGTGTCTCCTACAGGAGGGAGGTGGACCGGCTGGTGTCCTGGTGTCTCCTACAGGAGGGAGGTGGACCGGCTGGTGTCCTGGTGTCTCCTACAGGAGGGAGGTGGACCGGCTGGTGTCCTGGTGTCTCCTACAGGAGGGAGGTGGACCGGCTGGTGTCCTGGTGTCTCCTACAGGAGGGAGGTGGACCGGCTGGTGTCCTGGTGTCTCCTACAGGAGGGAGGTGGACCGCCTGGTGTCCTGGTGTCTCCTACAGGAGGGAGGTGGACCGGCTGGTGTCCTGGTGTCTCCTACAAGAGGGAGGTGGACCGGCTGGTGTCCTGGTGTCTCCTACAGGAGGGAGGTGGACCGGCTGGTGTCCTGGTGTCTCCTACAGGAGGGAGGTGGACCGGCTGGTGTCCTGGTGTCTCCTACAGGAGGGAGGTGGACCGGCTGGTGTCCTGGTGTCTCCTACAGGAGGGAGGTGGACCGGCTGGTGTCCTGGTGCAGTGGTAACAACCTGGAGCTGAACGCCCAGAAGACAGTGGAGATGATTGTGGACTTCAGGAAGAGCACTGTCCCCCGCCCCCACCCTCCGTGATGGACTCCCCCATCACCTCTGTGGAGTCCTTCCGTTTCCTGGGCACCACCATCACCCAGGACCTCAAGTGGGAGCCGACCATCAGCTCCTCATCAAGAAGGCCCAGCAGAGGATGTACTTCCTGCGGCAGCTCAGGAAAGCCAAGCTGCAGTTCTACACGGCCATCATCGAGTCCATCCTCACCTCCTCCATCACCTCCTCATCACCTCCTCCATCACCTCCTCCATCACCTCCTCCATCACCGTGTGGTTCGCTGGAGCCACAGTCAGGGACAAACAGAGACTACAGCGCATTGTGCGCTCTGCAGAGGAAGTGATCGGCCGCAGCCTTCCATCGCTGCAGGACCTGTACGTCGCCCGAGCTCGAGGCCGGGCTGGTCGTATCACAGCCGACCCCTCTCACCTGCACATGGACTATTCCAACCACTCCCCTCTCACCTGCACATGGACTATTCCAACCTCTCCCCTCTCACCTGCACATGGACTATTCCAACCACTCCCCTCTCACCTGCACATGGACTATTCCAACCACTCCCCTCTCACCTGCACATGGACTATTCCAACCACTCCCCTCTCACCTGCACATGGACTATTCCAACCACTCCCCTCTCACCTGCACATGGACTATTCCAACCACTCCCCTCTCACCTGCACATGGACTATTCCAACCACTCACCTCTCACCTGCACATGGACTATTCCAACCTCTCCCCTCTCACCTGCACATGGACTATTCCAACCACTCCCCTCTCACCTGCACATGGACTATTCCAACCACTCCCCTCTCACCTGCACATGGACTATTCCAACCACTCCCCTCTCACCTGCACATGGACTATTCCAACCACTCCCCTCTCACCTGCACATGGACTATTCCAACCACTCCCCTCTCACCTGCACATGGACTATTCCAACCACTCCCCTCTCACCTGCACATGGACTATTCCAACCACTCCCCTCTCACCTGCACATGGACTATTCCAACCACTCCCCTCTCACCTGCACATGGACTATTCCAACCACTCCCCTCAGGCAGGAGGCTGCGGTCCATCAGGACTAGAACCTCCCGCCACAAGAACAGTTTCTTCCCCTCTGCTGTTGGACTCTTGAACACTTCTTAACCTGTCCCCCCGCCCTTTATAAAGTCACTTTACTGCCCATCATACGTCACTTTACTTCACTGTACTGCTGTCACCTTACATTGTGTGCACCATGTGCACTTGTATATTGTAAATAGTAACTGTAACTCTATTTTAAATTCAAATTTATTCTTTAGAAGTGTTTTTTATTCTTATTTTTATTATCTCTTTTTGACTGTTGCACTGAGCCAAAGCAATTTCCAAGTCTGTGACTTCTGTTACTTACGTGGCAATAAAAATGATTCTGATTGATAAATACTAGCTTAATGTAGCTTATGATGCTATATAAATACTAGCTTGATGTAGCTTATGATGCTATATAAATACTAGCTTAATGTAGCTTATGATGCTATATAAACACTAGCTTAATGTAGCTTATGATGCTATATAAATACTAGCTTAATGTAGCTTATGATGCTATATAAACACTAGCTTAATGTAGCTTATGATACTATATAAATACTAGCTTAATGTAGCTTATGATGCTATATAAATACTAGCTTAATGTAGCTCATGATGCTATATAAACACTAGCTTAATGTAGCTTATGATGCTATATAAACACTAGCTTAATGTAGCTCATGATGCTATATAAACACTAGCTTAATGTAGCTTATGATGCTATATAAACACTAGCTTAATGTAGCTTATGATGCTATATAAACACTAGCTTAATGTAGCTTATGATGCTATATAAACACTAGCTTAATGTAGCTTATGATGCTATATAAATACTAGCTTAATGTAGCTCATGATACTATATAAATACTAGCTTAATGTAGCTTATGATGCTATATAAACACTAGCTTAATGTAGCTTATGATGCTATATAAACACTAGCTTAATGTAGCTTATGATGCTATATAAACACTAGCTTAATGTAGCTTATCATGCTATATAAATACTAGCTTAATGTAGCTTATGATGCTATATAAATACTAGCTTAATGTAGCTTATGATGCTATATAAATACTAGCTTAATGTAGCTTATGATGCTATATAAACACTAGCTTAATGTAGCTTATGATGCTATATAAATACTAGCTTAATGTAGCTTATGATGCTATATAAACACTAGCTTAATGTAGCTTATGATGCTATATAAACACTAGCTTAATGTAGCTTATGATGCTATATAAACACTAGCTTAATGTAGCTTATGATACTATATAAATACTAGCTTAATGTAGTTTATGATGCTATATAAATACTAGCTTAATGTAGCTTATGATGCTATATAAATACTAGCTTAATGTAGCTTATGATGCTATATAAATACTAGCTTAATGTAGCTTATGATGCTATATAAATACTAGCTTAATGTAGCTTATCATGCTATATAAATACTAGCTTAATGTAGCTTATGATGCTATATAAATACTAGCTTAATGTAGCTCATGATACTATATAAATACTAGCTTAATGTAGCTTATGATGCTATATAAATACTAGCTTAATGTAGCTTATGATGCTATATAAATACTAGCTTAATGTAGCTTATGATGCTATATAAATACTAGCTTAATGTAGCTTATCATGCTATATAAATACTAGCTTAATGTAGCTTATGATGCTATATAAATACTAGCTTAATGTAGCTTATGATGCTATATAAACACTAGCTTAATGTAGCTTATGATGCTATATAAACACTAGCTTAATGTAGCTTATGATGCTATATAAACACTAGCTTAATGTAGCTTATGATGCTATATAAACACTAGCTTAATGTAGCTTATGATGCTATATAAATACTAGCTTAATGTAGCTTATGATGCTATATAAATACTAGCTTAATGTAGCTTATCATGCTATATAAATACTAGCTTAATGTAGCTTATGATGCTATATAAATACTAGCTTAATGTAGCTTATGATGCTATATAAACACTAGCTTAATGTAGCTTATGATGCTATATAAACACTAGCTTAATGTAGCTTATGATGCTATATAAACACTAGCTTAATGTAGCTTATGATGCTATATAAATACTAGCTTAATGTAGCTTATGATGCTATATAAATACTAGCTTAATGTAGCTTATGATGCTATATAAATACTAGCTTAATGTAGCTTATCATGCTATATAAATACTAGCTTAATGTAGCTTATGATGCTATATAAATACTAGCTTAATGTAGCTTATGATGCTATATAAACACTAGCTTAATGTAGCTTATGATGCTATATAAATACTAGCTTAATGTAGCTTATGATGCTATATAAATACTAGCTTAATGTAGCTTATGATGCTATATAAATACTAGCTTAATGTAGCTTATCATGCTATATAAATACTAGCTTAATGTAGCTTATGATGCTAGCTTGAACTTTTGGTTTGAACATAAACTTTACCGTTCCACATCTTTAACAAACTCTAAATAATGAATCTGTAAAATGTGGAGAGGATAAAAACAAAACACGATTTATATCCAGGTTAAAACACGCTGTTATCATGTTTTCTCTACATTCTTACATTAGTCTTTACATTTTAAACACGTTACTCCCGACGTTAGCTTGGTCTCGGTCCTTTGTGTCTTTAGCTTCTGGCTGTTTTGCGGCGCTAGCATACAGAGCCAAGTCATTACGATAGACAAATAAGATGATTAGGAGGACAATGAGGCCATGGTGGTGGTTAGCGTGGTTAGCGTGGTTGGCGTGGTTAGCGTGGTTGGCGTGGTTAGCGTGGTTGGCGTGGTTGGCGTGGTTAGCGTGGTTGGCGTGGTCAGCGTGGTTGGCGTGGTTGGCGTGGTCAGCGTGTTTGGCGTGGTCAGCTCAGCGTGTTGGGCATGGTTGGCGTGGTCAGCGTGTTTGGCGTGGTCAGCGTGGTTGGCGTGGTTAGCGTGGTTGGCGTGGTCAGCGTGGTTGGCGTGGTTGGCGTGGTCAGCGTGTTTGGCGTGGTCAGCTCAGCGTGTTGGGCATGGTTGGCGTGGTCAGCGTGTTTGGCGTGGTTGGCGTGGTTAGCGTGGTTGGCGTGGTTGGCGTGGTCAGCGTGGTTGGCGTGGTCAGCGTGTTTGGCGTGGTCAGCTCAGCGTGTTGGGCATGGTTGGCGTGGTCAGCGTGTTTGGCGTGGTCAGCTCAGCGTGTTGGGCATGGTTGGCGTTGGTTGGTGTGGTTGGAGTGGTTGATGTGGTTAGCGTGGTCAGTGTTGTTAGCGTGGTTGGTGTGGTTAGCGTGGTTAGCATGGTTGGCGTGGTTGGCGTGGTTAGCGTGGTTAGCATGGTTGGCGTGGTTGGCGTGGTTAGCGTGGTTGGCGTGGTTGGCGTGGTCAGCGTGTTTGGCGTGGTCAGCTCAGCGTGTTGGGCATGGTTGGCGTTGGTTGGTGTGGTTGGAGTGGTTGATGTGGTTAGCGTGGTCAGTGTTGTTAGCGTGGTTGGCGTGGTTAGCGTGGTTGGCGTGGTTAGCGTGGTTAGCATGGTTGGCGTGGTTGGCGTGGTTAGCGTGGTTGGCATGGTTGGCATGGTTAGCGTGGTTGGCGTGGTCAGCGTGTTTGGCGTGGTCAGTGTGTTTGGCGTGGTGAGCTCAGCGTGTTGGGCATGGTTGGCGTGGTTGGCGTGGTCAGCGTGGTTGGCGTGGTCAGCTCAGCGTGTTGGGCCTGGTTGGCGCTGGTTGGTGTGGTTGGAGTGGTTGATGTGGTTAGCGTGGTCAGTGTTGTTAGCGTGGTTGGTGTGGTTAGCGTGGTTAGCATGGTTGGCGTGGTTGGCGTGGTTAGCGTGGTTAGCATGGTTGGCGTGGTTGGCGTGGTTAGCGTGGTTAGCATGGTTGGCGTGGTTGGCGTGGTTAGCGTGGTTGGCGTGGTTGGCGTGGTCAGCGTGGTTGGCGTGGTCAGCGTGTTTGGCGTGGTCAGCTCAGCGTGTTGGGCATGGTTGGCGTTGGTTGGTGTGTGTTGGAGTGGTTGATGTGGTTAGCGTGGTCAGTGTTGTTAGCGTGGTTGGTGTGGTTAGCGTGGTTAGCATGGTTGGCGTGGTTGGCGTGGTTAGCGTGGTTAGCATGGTTGGCGTGGTTGGCGTGGTTAGCGTGGTTGGCATGGTTGGCGTGGTTGGCGTGGTTGGCATGGTTGGCGTGGTGGGCGTGGTTGGCATGGTTGGCGTGGTTGCCGTGGTTGGCATGGTTGGCATGGTTGGCGTGGTTGGCGTGGTTAGCGTGGTTGGCGTGGTTGGCGTGGTTGGCATGGTTGGCGTGGTGGGCGTGGTTGGCGTGGTTGGCATGGTTGGCATGGTTGGAGTGGTTAGCGTGGTTGGTGAGGTTGGCGTGGTTGGCATGGTTAGCGTGGTGGGCGTGGTTGGTGAGGTTGGCGTGGTTGGCATGGTTAGCGTGGTGGGCGTGGTTGGTGAGGTGGGCGTGGTGGGCGTGGTTGGTGAGGTGGGCGTGGTTGGTGAGGTTGGCGTGGTGGGCGTGGTTGGCATGGTTAGCGTGGTGGGCGTGGTTGGTGAGGTTGGCGCGGGCACTTGTGGCGTTGCTGTGATAATGCATCCTTATTTAAGCAGGAAACATGTGTTTAGTGGATTAAGGCGTTTGTCATAAAAGTGTAGTTTTGCTTTTACTGAGATGGAGAAATATGAGACGTGTGAAATTGGAAACGAACTCAGAGGCTCAGAAACTCTGAAAGCTCTAATGATGTGAACTCAGAGGCTCAGAAACTCTGAAAGCTCTAATGATGTGAACTCAGAGGCTCAGTAACTCTGAAAGCTCTAATGATGTGAACTCTGAGGCTCAGTAACTCTGAAAGCTCTAATGATGTGAACTCTGAGGCTCAGAAACTCTGAAAGCTCTAATGATGTGAACTCAGAGGCTCAGAAACTCTGAAAGCTCTAATGATGTGAACTCAGAGGCTCAGAAACTCTGAAAGCTCTAATGATGTGAACTCTGAGGCTCAGAAACTCTGAAAGCTCTAATGATGTGAACTCAGAGGCTCAGAAACTCTGAAAGCTCTAATGATGTGAACTCTGAGGCTCAGAAACTCTGAAAGCTCTAATGATGTGAACTCAGAGGCTCAGAAACTCTGAAAGCTCTAATGATGTGAACTCAGAGGCTCAGAAACTCTGAAAGCTCTAATGATGTGAACTCAGAGGCCCAGTAACTCTGAAAGCTCTAATGATGTGAACTCTGAGGCTCAGTAACTCTGAAAGCTCTAATGATGTGAACTCAGAGGCTCAGTAACTCTGAAAGCTCTAATGATGTGAACTCTGAGGCTCAGAAACTCTGAAAGCTCTAATGATGTGAACTCAGAGGCTCAGAAACTCTGAAAGCTCTAATGATGTGAACTCAGAGGCGTGGTTGGTGTGGTTAGCGTGGTTAGCATGGTTGGCGTGGTTGGCGTGGTTAGCGTGGTTAGCATGGTTGGCGTGGTTGGCGTGGTTAGCGTGGTTGGCATGGTTGGCGTGGTTGGCGTGGTCAGCGTGGTTGGCGTGGTCAGCGCGTGTTTGGCGTGGTCAGCTCAGCGTGTTGGGCATGGTTGGCGTTGGTTGGTGTGGTTGGAGTGGTTGATGTGGTTAGCGTGGTCAGTGTTGTTAGCGTGGTTGGTGTGGTTAGCGTGGTTAGCATGGTTGGCGTGGTTGGCGTGGTTAGCGTGGTTAGCATGGTTGGCGTGGTTAGCGTGGTTGGCATGGTTGGCGTGGTTGGCATGGTTGGCGTGGTGGGCGTGGTTGCATGGTTGGCGTGGTCAGCTCAGCGTGTTTGGGCATGGTTGGCGTGGTCAGCGTGGTTGGCGTGGTCAGCGTGTTTGGCGTGGTCAGCTCAGCGTGTTGGGCATGGTTGGCGTGGTCAGCGTGGTTGGCGTGGTCAGCGTGTTTGGCGTGGTCAGCTCAGCGTGTTGGCATGGTGGCGTGGTCAGCGTTTGGCGTGGTCAGCGCGTGTTGGCTGGTTGGCGTGGTCAGCGTGTTTGGCGTGGTCAGCTCAGCGTGTTGGGCATGGTTGGCGTTGGTTGGTGTGGTTGGAGTGGTTGATGTGGTTAGCGTGGTCAGTGTTGTTAGCGTGGTTGGCGTGGTTAGCGTGGTTAGCATGGTTGGCGTGGTTGGCGTGGTTAGCGTGGTTAGCATGGTTGGCGTGGTTGGCGTGGTTAGCGTGGTTGGCATGGTTGGCATGGTTAGCGTGGTTGGCGTGGTCAGCGTGTTTGGCGTGGTCAGTGTGTTTGGCGTGGTGAGCTCAGCGTGTTGGGCATGGTTGGCGTGGTTGGCGTGGTCAGCGTGGTTGGCGTGGTCAGCGTGGTTGGCGTGGTCAGCGTGTTTGGCGTGGTCAGCTCAGCGTGTTGGGCCTGGTTGGCGCTGGTTGGTGTGGTTGGAGTGGTTGATGTGGTTAGCGTGGTCAGTGTTGTTAGCGTGGTTGGTGTGGTTAGCGTGGTTAGCATGGTTGGCGTGGTTGGCGTGGTTAGCGTGGTTAGCATGGTTGGCGTGGTTGGCGTGGTTAGCGTGGTTAGCATGGTTGGCGTGGTTGGCGTGGTTAGCGTGGTTGGCGTGGTTGGCGTGGTCAGCGTGGTTGGCGTGGTCAGCGTGTTTGGCGTGGTCAGCTCAGCGTGTTGGGCATGGTTGGCGTGGTCAGGGTGTTTGGCGTGGTCAGCTCAGCGTGTTGGGCATGGTTGGCGTTGGTTGGTGTGGTTGGAGTGGTTGATGTGGTTAGCGTGGTCAGTGTTGTTAGCGTGGTTGGTGTGGTTAGCGTGGTTAGCATGGTTGGCGTGGTTGGCGTGGTTAGCGTGGTTAGCATGGTTGGCGTGGTTGGCGTGGTTAGCGTGGTTGGCATGGTTGGCGTGGTTGGCGTGGTTGGCATGGTTGGCGTGGTGGGCGTGGTTGGCATGGTTGGCGTGGTTGGCGTGGTTGGCATGGTTGGCATGGTTGGCGTGGTTGGCGTGGTTAGCGTGGTTGGCGTGGTTGGCGTGGTTGGCATGGTTGGCGTGGTGGGCGTGGTTGGCGTGGTTGGCATGGTTGGCATGGTTGGAGTGGTTAGCGTGGTTGGCGTGGTTGGCGTGGTTGGCATGGTTGGCGTGGTGGGCGTGGTTGGCGTGGTTGGCATGGTTGGCATGGTTGGAGTGGTTAGCGTGGTTGGTGAGGTTGGCGTGGTTGGCATGGTTAGCGTGGTGGGCGTGGTTGGTGAGGTTGGCGTGGTTGGTGAGGTTGGCGCGGGCACTTGTGGCGTTGCTGTGATAATGCATCCTTATTTAAGCAGGAAACATGTGTTTAGTGGATTAAGGCGTTTGTCATAAAAGTGTAGTTTTGCTTTTACTGAGATGGAGAAATATGAGACGTGTGAAATTGGAAACGAACTCAGAGGCTCAGAAACTCTGAAAGCTCTAATGATGTGAACTCAGAGGCTCAGAAACTCTGAAAGCTCTAATGATGTGAACTCAGAGGCTCAGTAACTCTGAAAGCTCTAATGATGTGAACTCTGAGGCTCAGTAACTCTGAAAGCTCTAATGATGTGAACTCTGAGGCTCAGAAACTCTGAAAGCTCTAATGATGTGAACTCAGAGGCTCAGTAACTCTGAAAGCTCTAATGATGTGAACTCTGAGGCTCAGTAACTCTGAAAGCTCTAATGATAGTGAACTCTGAGGCTCTAATGATGTGAACTCGAGGCTCAAAACTCTGAAAGCTCTAATGATGTGAACTCAGAGGCTCAGAAACTCTGAAAGCTCTAATGATGTGAACTCAGAGGCTCAGAACTCTGAAAGCTCTCGAAGCTGATGTGAACTCAGAGGCTCAGAAACTCTGAAAGCTCTAATGATGTGAACTCTGAGGCTCAGAAACTCTGAAAGCTCTAATGATGTGAACTCGGGCTCAGAAAGCTCTATGATGTGAATCAGAGGCTCAGAAACTCTGAAAGCTCTAATGATGTGAACTCTGAGGTCAGAACTCTGAGGATGTGACTCAGAGGCTCAAAACTCTGAAAGCTCTAATGATGTGAACTCAGAGGCTCAGAAACTCTGAAAGCTCTAATGATGTGAACTCAGAGGCTCAGAAACTCTGAAAGCTCTAATGATGTGAACTCAGAGGCTCAGAAACTCTGAAAGCTCTAATGATGTGAACTCTGAGGCTCAGAAACTCTGAAAGCTCTAATGATGTGAACTCTAGAGGCTCAGAAACTCTGAAAGCTCTAATGATGTGAACTCTGAGGCTCAGAAACTCTGAAAGCTCTAATGATGTGAACTCAGAGGCTCAGAAACTCTGAAAGCTCTAATGATGTGAACTCAGAGGCTCAGAAACTCTGAAAGCTCTAATGATGTGAACTCAGAGGCTCAGAAACTCTGAAAGCTCTAATGATGTGAACTCTGAGGCTCAGAAACTCTGAAAGCTCTAATGATGTGAACTCAGAGGCTCAGAAACTCTGAAAGCTCTAATGATGTGAACTCTCAAAACTGAAAGCTCTAATGATGTGAACTCAGAGGCTCAGAAACTCTGAAAGCTCTAATGATGTGAACTCTGAGGCTCAGAAACTCTGAAAGCTCTAATGATGTGAACTCTGAGGCTCAGAAACTCTGAAAGCTCTAATGATGTGAACTCAGAGGCTCAGAAACTCTGAAAGCTCTAATGATGTGAACTCAGAGGCTCAGAAACTCTGAAAGCTCTAATGATGTGAACTCTGAGGCTCAGAAACTCTGAAAGCTCTAATGATGTGAAATCAGAGGCTCAGAAACTCTGAAAGCTCTAATGATGTGAACTCAGAGGCTCAGAAACTCTGAAAGCTCTAATGATGTGAACTCTGAGGCTCAGAAACTCTGAAAGCTCTAATGATGTGAACTCAGAGGCTCAGAAACTCTGAAAGCTCTAATGATGTGAACTCAGAGGCTCAGAAACTCTGAAAGCTCTAATGATGTGAACTCTGAGGCTCAGAAACTCTGAAAGCTCTAATGATGTGAACTCTGAGGCTGCGGAGATACGTCTAATTTTCTGCTTAACCAACGATCGCAAATATAATAATAATAAAAAGAGCAATGTTGTTGTTGCGCTAACGTCGGACACACAATAACAACAGGAAGAGGAAATACTCATCTGGACAAACGGCGTTCCATGAATATGGTTTTTAGCTAGTTTTGTTTTTGGTTTCAAAACGCCATTGGCCATTGTTTTTTCAGGCTAAAACTGAGACTAAAAATGTGTCATAATCATCTCGACCCCGTGGGACTGAACCAAAACTTGTTTTCCTACTTTATACAAAGGTTCAGATTCAGTTAGTATGTTATTTTTTGTGACATGTCACAGGCGACAGTAGCTCAGTTGTAGAGCATTGGCCTTTGAGCCAGAGGGTTGTGGGTTCGAGCCCGACCTTCACCATCGACTCCCACTGTCGGCTGTCGTTGTGTCCTTGGGCAAGACACTTAACCTCTGGGAACAGCAGGTGCCACAGTGCGGCGGCTGTGGCTGTAAAGTGCCAAACTGTGGTTGTGTTCTTGGGCAAGACACTTCCCCCACATTAGAATGAGTCTGGTGTGTGAATGGTTGCCTGGTTGCCTCGCTTCTGTCAGTGTGCAGTTTTTAGTAAGTAATGTTATTTATATTGCGCATTGTACAGGACAATGTTCAGAAATCAGATATTGACAGAACCCGAGACACCGAACACACTGGACCATCAAAGCCGTTACATTCAGACCTATTGTACGGCGGCACGGTGGCTGAGTGGATAGCACTCTCGCCTCTCAGCAAGAAGGTCCTGGGTTCGAATCCCGGCCGGACCAGGGCCTTTCTGAGTGGAGTTTGCATGTTCTCCCCGTGTCTGCGTAGGTTTCCTCCGGGTACTCCGGTTTCCCCTACCACTAAAAATATGTCCAATAGTTCTGGCATGCGCCTCCTGTACTGGCCCCGCTCCCATCTCTGTGTGGAGTGAGAGACAAATGCCCAAAATTAACAATTGTAAACCGCTTTGAGACTCAGATCTGCAGTGAAAAGGCGGTATATAAATAATAACTTACTTACTTACTTACTATTGTACCTGTTTCTAGTGGTAGGAGCACCCGTAGGGAACCTACACAGACACCTGGAGAACATGCAAACTCCACTCAGAAAGGCCCCACTCCAACTGGGATTCAAACCCAGGACCTTCTTGCTGAGAAGAAGGTGCTGCTAACCACTCAGCCAGACCTCTCTGCTCCATGAGCCAGTCCAGACCCATGAGCCAGTCCAGACCCATGAGCCAGTCCAGACCCATGAGCCAGTCCAGACTCATGAGCCAGTCCAGACCCATGAGCCAGTCCAGACCCCTCTCTGCTCAACAAGATTTTCAATAAATGAGATTCCACTCGTTTAAATAAACATGGAAACCCGAGGCCAAGGATTCCAAAGACTCCCAAAGCCGAACAAATGCACAATCTATGTTTTTCGCCTCAGATTCCGCCGTCCCCCGAGGCAGCGGCGGCAGAGTAAATTGTTAAAACTCTGTGTTCCATGGGCTTGTTGGGCCTGAGGCGAGGTTTGAGGAGAGAGCTGCACACACACCCGGCCCCTCCCCAGACGCTTCCCCTGCAAGGGCGACCGACGCTGGATTTAGACATTTTGGAGCAAGAGCAACTGATTCTACAGCTTTTTTGTGACCTAGCAAGCGCTTTTCCAACCTCCGTGACGTGTTTGGCCGCAGGGACATTACCCGAGATCTGATTGTTAAAGCGTCTTTATTAAATAGATTTCATGTCGGATTGAACTCCACTTTCAACCACATTTATGCATTTTACCAACATGTAAAGACCCTCCTCTCTGCTCCTTTTGGACCATTGGCTCTATGTGTTTTTTATCGTTGCATTTCCTGTGTTTCCTGTTTCTCTGATCTGTGTTGGAGAATCCACAGCTTTGTCAAGTCCTCATAGATAACTACTGTTGTGATTTAGGATGATTCACAAATACAATGAATAGAAATGAATTGTCCCTCTCCACTAAGTATTGGTGATAGAGGACTGTGGGGTGTGGCGGCGCGGGTAAATGAGTATATACATATTACACACTAAAAATAGCATTGTTTGTGTAATGGAAAACAACTATAGAAGGGGCCAAAACGACATGGGCATTTGTTCTGACGGGTTTAGCTTTGTGCCAAGACGGATGTGTTGGTAAGATGGTTGCTAAGATGGTTGCTAAGATGGTTGCTAAGATGGTTGCTAAGATGTGTTGCTAAGATGTGTTGCTAAGATGTGTTGGTAAGATGGTTGCTAAGATGTGTTGCTAAGATGTGTTGCTAAGATGTGTTGCTAAGATGTGTTGCTAAGATGTGTTGCTAAGATGTGTTGCTAAGATGTGTTGCTAAGATGGTTGCTAAGATGTGTTGCTAAGATGGTTGCTAAGATGTGTTGCTAAGATGGTTGCTAAGATGGTTGCTAAGATGGTTGCTAAAGTGTGTTGCTAAGATGGTTAGCAAGATCTTAGCAACACATCAACACATCGCAACACGCTAAGTCGGTTAGCAACACATGGTTGCAAAGATGTGTTGCTAAGATGTTGCCACATTGGCACCGGAAGATGGCGTTGTGGCGGAGACTACAGATGGACAATAGCATGATGCTAAATCTGGAGTAGCCCTAAGTAAACAAACTTCACTCATTCATGGTTGCTAAGATGGTTGCTAAGATGGTTGCTAAGATGGTTGCTAAGATGGTTGCTAAGGCAAGCCATAAATAGTGAGTGTGACATAAACGGTTACTGAGATAGAGAGGTTTACTTTTACACGTAAGTCAACGGGAGCCAGAGAGAGTTGGCGCTTCATTGAGCTAGCGGGTTAGCATTGTGTCTCCCCAGATGACTGCACAGAGGCTGGCACAGAGGCTGGCACAGAGGCTGGCACAGAGGCTGGCACAGAGGCTGGCACAGAGGCTGGCACAGAGGCTGGCACAGAGGCTGGCACAGAGGCTGGCACAGAGGCTGGCACAGGGCGAGGTTTCTCCGTCTGCCAATTCCCACGAGACTTCTCCAGCGTGGCACCAACATCACAAATCCGGCTCCATGTCTAAGCACGTTTCACTCTTGTTATCTGCTTTGACGGAGCAGGCGCGGCTTTGGAACCAGAATCTACATCTACAGCTTTTAACCACGGATGAAAAACAGCAGGACTTGTTTTAGCTTCTTCCACATGAATATCAAAGCATTTCAGACTCGCAACATTGCACAGCGACAACAAGCAGCTTATGTGTGTTTCTCACTCCTGCCAAAATGCATTTAAGCTAACATTAGGCTCTTGAATATGATTTGAGACGGTTAATGACGAGAGAAAAAGGCCGAGCGCTGGTTAAACACGTTAATGTGTCAAATCCAAACATACGCCGTGGCTCTGTTATTGTTATAGTGATGTAATCAAACCTGGTGTTGCTAAAGGTCTCCCATCACAGTATTACCCAGGCCCTGTCCTGTATAGCTTCAGAGGTCTGATCTGGCTTCACCTGCATGGTGGACACATGAACACAGCTCTATACTTTATACTAAACTCTAAACTAATTAACTCTATCCAAACTCTAATAATTACAATGACAAAAAATGAAACTAGCTTTAGCATTCTAAGTTAGCATCTATAATCTCCAACTTTAGCAGAACGAAGAAGCAAGAATCCAACCTCTGACTTCAGATCATTTGTGATTTTCTTTGCATTGTATTTGTATGTGTCTGAATTGGATTATTATTATTATTAATGAATTATTATTATAATCTTTTTGCGTCCAACGATCCCTCCTCAGACCATGCACAGGTTTTCTGGTTTTCTCTGATCATATTTTCCTGTGAAAAATGGTTTGTGTCATAAACAAATGATGAATAAGTATAAAAATGTGTATCAAAAATATCAAGTTAGAGAATAGCTAGAAATCCTCTTCTTTAAAAGGCAAAAATATGAACAAAAATCCACTGGTGTTTTTCTCTCAAAGCAGAGTCAGAGGTAGATGTTATTTATAAAAACATTCAGAGTTAGGGACCGCAGCTTTAACCTCAAACACGCCGCCTTCATTTCCTCCTTTTGAAAAGCCACCATCAGAGGCGCTTCGTTGACTCAGACGCACAGAGTCTTCTTCACACATTTATATCAAAACAGACAAACGCAATTAAGAGAAACGGCGGCTCCGGGACAGGCCGACGAGTGGATGTTGTGGAGCCCGCGGCACCAGGAGAAAACGAGGAGGAAAGATGTGACAGCGCCGTGGAAGCCGACGGAGAAACGCACTCAGACATTACTCTGGACGAGGAGCCGGCGCCGTAATGAGGCCGTAGATTGGTCCACGCCGCAGAAACGCCATCGCTCACGCTCAGACTGCAGCTGGATGTTGGGCCTTTGCTAAGTGCAGACGCCGGAGACAGATGAGGGAGGCGGCGAGTTCGTGTCTGTACCTGTGATACGGTACACGACACAGAAATGTTAGAGCAGGGGCCTCCAACCTACCCTGGTCTTACCGCACCATGGTACTCGTTTCATTTATACTAAGGTCTGGATCAGGTGGGAGGGGCTAACTCCTTTTGCAGATTGAAACGATCTGAGTTTACTGTGACGTATGTAATGAGCCCGAGTGAGTGAGGCATTTAGCATTTAGCCTAGCTTTAGCATTTAGCCTAGCTTTAGCGTTAGCCTAGCTTTAGCCATCTCCTTAACAGAGCCCGTGGGGAGTGGAGCCACAACATCTTTGCCGGAGTTGACGGACAGCTAAGGCCATGCTATCTCCAGCCTGTAGCTCGGGAGGTATCAGTAGCTCACCAGCTCCTTGTAGGTAGCTCCCAAAAGGCTCTATCTGAAAAAACCCGGCTTTAATCTGTCTACTTTTTAAATTAATGATCTTGAATGAATACATTTTGAGTCAAAAGCCCTGTTTGGGGACGACAGTGGCTCAGTCGGTAAAGCATTGGTCTAATGGCCGCTGTTGTTGTGTCCCTGGGCAAGACACTTAACCCCGCTTTGCCTGAAGCCCCATTGTGAATTGGGTGCAGCTCTGATCTCCGTCCCCTGACCCAGGAATGGATAAATAAAAGGATGAAAATGAAATGAAAAAAGAAACATGTCTATTATAAGTACAGCGTTATACAGTATTAATGTTTATTTACATTTAGGACTGCAGAAAGGAGTAGCTCTCTGCCTCTTCTGTTGTAGCTCTCTGCCTCTTCAGTTGTGTATAAGTAGCTCTCTGTCTCTTCTGTTGTGTATAAGTAGCTCTCTGTCTCTTCTGTTGTGTATAAGTAGCTCTCTGTCTCTTCTGTTGTGTATAAGTAGCTCTCTGCCTCGTCTGTTGTGAAAAAGTAGCTCTCTGCCTCTTCTGTTGTGAAAAAGTAGCTCTCTGCCTCTTCTGTTGTGTATAAGTAGCTCTCTGTCTCTTCTGTTGTGTATAAGTAGCTTTCTGTCTCTTCTGTTGTGTATAAGTAGCTCTCTGTCTCTTCTCTTCTGTTGTAGCTCTCTGTCTCTTCTGTTGTAGCTCTCTGTCTCTTCTGTTGTAGCTCTCTGTCTCTTCTGTTGTAGCTCTCTGTCTCTTCTGTTGTGTATAAGTAGCTCTCTGTCTCTTCTGTTGTGTATAAGTAGCTCTCTGCCTCTTCTGTTGTGAAAAAGTAGCTCTCTGCCTCTTCTGTTGTGTATAAGTAGCTCTCTGTCTCTTCTGTTGTGTATAAGTAGCTCTCTGTCTCTTCTGTTGTGTATAAGTAGCTCTCTGCCTCTTCTTTTGTGAAAAAGTAGCTCTCTGTCTCTTCTGTTGTGTATAAGTAGCTCTCTGTCTCTTCTGTTGTGTATAAGTAGCTCTCTGCCTCTTCTGTTGTGTATAAGTAGCTCTCTGTCTCTTCTGTTGTGTATAAGTAGCTCTCTGTCTCTTCTGTTGTGTATAAGTAGCTCTCTGTCTCTTCTGTTGTGTATAAGTAGCTCTCTGTCTCTTCTGTTGTGTATAAGTAGCTCTCTGCCTCGTCTGTTGTGAAAAAGTAGCTCTCTGCCTCTTCTGTTGTGTATAAGTAGCTCTCTGCCTCTCCTGTTGTAGCTCTCTGCCTCTTCTTTTGTGAAAAAGTAGCTCTCTGCCTCTCCTGTTGTAGCTCTCTGCCTCTCCTGTTGTAGCTCTCTGCCTCTCCTGTTGTAGCTCTCATGTTTTGTCGTGAAGGTTTAAAGCACATCAGAAGCTGGGATCAAGGCCAACTCTCCACAGTCCTCACCTTTGGGCTCTGAACAAACTCAGATGTGACAAATGTGTTCATTATAATCCGAGCTAAACCAGGCCAGGTGGTGCTGTCATCTCTGACGCTAATGGCCCGGGACCTGATCTCCAGACATCGTTTCCACAAATCCAAAAGCAGCTCATTTAAAAGAGTCCTCAGCTCTGAGCGTTTTTAAATGATGTGGACATTTGTCATGATTGAAGCTAATTAGCATCAGAAACACACCGCAGTGAAACACAACACTGCCGTCCACTCTGGAGACGGGATTGGTTCATTTGATCACACACAACAGTTGGTGATCCACAAAACATGGGACGCAGGACGTGATCAAACCCAGACAAATGTTTCAGATTCTCATTCAGCGAGAAAAGGAATTAAAACGCTTTGATCTTGTTCTGACTGAAAAGTAAACTCCTGTAACTCAGTAACTGTTGCCTCACTCTCTTTCATCTGCTCTGGTCCTGGGGTTTAATGTCATGTCTTTGTCAATGCAGACAGGAGCCATGGGAACAGTGACCAATCAGAGGCCTTCATTTCCTGGGGAAACCCCCGCTTGCCTTAGCAACCGTCTTAGCAACTGCCTTAGCAACCGTCTTAGCAACTGCCTTAGCAACCGTCTTAGCAACTGCCTTAGCAACCATCTTAGCAACCATCTCAGTGACCGTTTTAGCAACTGCCTTAGCAACCATCTAAGTGACCGTCTTAGCAACTGCCTTAGCAACCATCTAAGTGACCGTCTTAGCAACTGCCTTAGCAACCATCTAAGTGACCGTCTTAGAAACTGCCTTAGCAACCATCTCAGTGACCGTTATAGCAACTGCCTTAGCAACCATCTCTGTAACCGTTTTAGCAACTGCCTTAGCAACCATCTAAGTGACCGTTATAGCAACTGCCTTAGCAACCATCTAAGTGACCGTCTTAGCAACTGCCATAGCAACCATCTAAGTGACCGTCTTTGCAACTGCCTTAGCAACCATCTAAGACTTAGATGGTTGCTAAGGCAGTTGCTAAGACGGTTGCTATGCCTTAGCAGCCATCTTAACAACTGCCTTAGCAACCATCTCAGTGACCGTCTTAGCAACTGCCATAGCAACCATCTAAGTGACTGCCTTAGCAACCATCTTAGCAACTGCCTTAGCAACACTGTCCACTGGATGTCATGTTACCCACTTATTACCGTGCCCTGTATGTACAGTACGGACCAAACGTTTGGACACAATTTCTCATTCACTGAGTTTCTTTTCATGACTATGGACTGTAGACTCAGACCAGACTGTGTGAGGACTATGGACTGTAGACTCAGACCAGACTGTGTGACTATGGACTGTAGACTCAGACCAGACTGTGTGACTATGGACTGTAGACTCAGACCAGACTGTGTGACTATGGGCTGTAGACTCAGACCAGACTGTGTGACTATGGACTGTAGACTCAGACCAGACTGTGTGAGGACTATGGACTGTAGACTCAGACCAGACTGTGTGAGGACTATGGACTGTAGACTCAGACCAGACTGTGTGACTATGGACTGTAGACTCAGACCAGACTGTGTGACTATGGACTGTAGACTCAGACCAGACTGTGTGAGGACTATGGACTGTAGACTCAGACCAGACTGTGTGAGGACTATGGACTGTAGACTCAGACCAGACTGTGTGACTATGGACTGTAGACTCAGACCAGACTGTGACTATGGACTGTAGACTCAGACCAGACTGTGTGACTATGGACTGTAGACTCAGACCAGTCTGTGTGAGGACTATGGACTGTAGACTCAGACCAGACTGTGTGACTATGGGCTGTAGACTCAGACCAGACTGTGTGAGGACTATGGACTGTAGACTCAGACCAGACTGTGTGAGGACTATGGACTGTAGACTCAGACCAGACTGTGTGACTATGGGCTGTAGACTCAGACCAGACTGTGACTATGGACTGTAGACTCAGACCAGACTGTGTGAGGACTATGGACTGTTGACTCAGACCAGACTGTGTGACTATGGACTGTAGACTCAGACCAGACTGTGACTATGGACTGTAGACTCAGACCAGACTGTGTGACTATGGACTGTAGACTCAGACCAGACTGTGTGACTATGGACTGTAGACTCAGACCAGACTGTGACTATGGACTGTAGACTCAGACCAGACTGTGTGAGGACTATGGACTGTTGACTCAGACCAGACTGTGTGACTATGGACTGTAGACTCAGACCAGACTGTGACTATGGACTGTAGACTCAGACCAGACTGTGTGACTATGGACTGTAGACTCAGACCAGACTGTGTGAGGACTATGGACTGTAGACTCAGACCAGACTGTGTGAGGACTATGGACTGTAGACTCAGACCAGACTGTGTGACTATGGGCTGTAGACTCAGACCAGACTGTGACTATGGACTGTAGACTCAGACCAGACTGTGTGAGGACTATGGACTGTTGACTCAGACCAGACTGTGTGAGGACTATGGACTGTTGACTCAGACCAGACTGTGTGACTATGGACTGTAGACTCAGACCAGACTGTGACTATGGACTGTAGACTCAGACCAGACTGTGTGACTATGGACTGTAGACTCAGACCAGACTGTGTGAGGACTATGGACTGTAGACTCAGACCAGACTGTGTGACTATGGACTGTAGACTCAGACCAGACTGTGACTATGGACTGTAGACTCAGACCAGACTGTGTGACTATGGACTGTAGACTCAGACCAGACTGTGTGACTATGGACTGTAGACTCAGACCAGACTGTGTGACTATGGACTGTAGACTCAGACCAGACTGTGTGACTATGGACTGTAGACTCAGACCAGACTGTGTGACTATGGACTGTAGACTCAGACCAGACTGTGTGACTATGGACTGTAGACTCAGACCAGACTGTGTGACTATGGACTGTAGACTCAGACCAGACTGTGACTATGGACTGTAGACTCAGACCAGACTGTGTGACTATGGACTGTAGACTCAGGCCAGACTGTGTGACTATGGACTGTAGACTCAGACCAGACTGTGTGAGGACTATGGACTGTAGACTTCGACCAGACTGTGTGAGGACTATGGACTGTAGACTCAGAC